TGCAATTGTTAAACACACAGACTCTGGAGCCAGGCTACCTGAGTTCCAAGCTGGCTCTACCACTTGCTAACTGTATGACCTTGAGGAGCTCACCCACCTTTCTAAACCTGAGTTTCTTCCTTTTTTTTTTTATCTATGTTTTGTTTATTTTTTTATTTTTTATTTTTATAATTTTTTTTATTGCTTAAATTATTACAAAGAGTATTACATATGTCTCCTTTTTTCCCCCCCCCCCGCCCTTTTTTAAATGGACATCATAATATTTCAAAATGTTATTGAGTCTCTCTCTCTCTCTCTCTCTCTCTCTCCCTGATTACCTGGTTTATAAGTTGCATTCACACTCCTGGAGAGTGACTATCCCCGTGGCTTTGAACTGTGGCAGTAGTATCCTCTCCTGGCCAAAATTGACATCTGAGCTGGAGAAAGAGCAGATCTACAATCCTAGGACTCCATGACACCACACACGTACATTAGGTGACAAGCAATCAAATCTTGAGAGTCCTGCAGTCTGAAATTATCTTCTGATCCTCCTGAGAATCTGTACTTTTGAAAGACCTGTTGCTATTTGAAAGCAACTTGAGACAAACAGAAAAAATAACGATTCTATATTCTGTCTGATTCATACTGAGAGCAAATCAAATCAATGGGCTCTATTATTATAAAAATAAGTGATTTCTCCCTGTAGGAAATATAAGCCACTCTCATTCTCTGCTTGTTTGTAAAATTTGACTCTTTATGTACTAAGAGAATAAAATAATAATTTAACTTTAAAATGAGGGCTAAGTTCATTCCCTGCAAAGAACTCAGAAGAATGCCCAACACATGATTTGTGCTGAGTAAATGCTAGACATCATCAGTAACAAGAATGGCAGCAGCAGCATGATTATTGCTCAAGGAAGTCCTCACCTGGTCCTTGAGCAGAAGAAGGTGTTTTAAAGGAGCCAAGGAGCAGACAGGAAGCAGTGGAGCACGGGAGTACATGGCTGAGTAGCAGCTGCTCTTCAGCCCAAGACTTTCAGGTTATGGGTTTGCAAAGCTGTAGTGCACTCACCAAGCACAGCTATGATATTGTTCTTTCTGCCTCCAGACTCAAGCCCAGAGAGCCAGAAGATATTTGGGGATGGTGAGATAGTCCAGTGTTTTGTTTGTTTGCTTTAAAGCAAAGATGCTCAACTTTGGCTGCACATTGGAATGACAGAGGAGCTTTCAAAAATCCCAGTGCAAGGTCCCTGCCCAGAGATTCCCCTGTGAATGGTCTGGGTGTGTGCCTGGGGTTTAGGAACACTCCTCTGGTGATTCCAGTGTTCAGTGTAGAGCACCACTGTTTGAGAAGGTCCGCCTTTAAGGGTCAGCCCCTCTACCCCAATCTCTCCCTTTCCTGCTGCTTTCCAGCCTGGAGCAGTGGCCAAGATTCTTGGTAGCCCTTCACTTTTTCAGCGATCCTTTTCTTTCTCGTGAGAGATAAAACAAGAATGTGTTTATATGTTTGATTTATTTATTTTTAGTAGGTATTCCTGATCATATGTACTTCTCAGAAAAGGAATTCGGGACAGTGATTCCTTCCCTTGGGGGAACTACTCCTTGCCACACTAAAGGGCTGCCTTCCCCTCCCCCTCCCCACCATGCATCCTCCCTTTCCCACTAGCTCAGGGAACAAAAGAGCAAGAAGCATGTGGTGTTCAGCTGTGGTCCCTGGTGCCGCTGCACAATGGCTGGCAGGTTGTGAGGTCGCGTGTCTGTCTCCGCTTCCTTTAAGCAGTGCTATTGGGCTCCCAGCCCCAGTGATAATATATTAATGAAACCTCAGCCACACTTTTATTTGTTTCCCCATGGATGTTGATTTTCTTGTGCTGTAAATCACAGGGAAAAAATCACAGAATATCATTCCTTCAGCAACAACTCCCCGTGTGTAGAGGCTGTGAAGTGAGTAAGTACAGCCTTTGCATTAATCATTCATTATTTCACCAGCACCAGTTGGCTTGGCTTTGTTTAGCCTTGCTGTGCTGGCATTGAGAGTGTCTGTGCATAATGGCCACAGTTCATTTCCCCACTGTCTGTGACTCAGTGTGCTCTGATCCAGAGAAGGAAAGGGAGGGGAACTTGGGCATTCTGTGTGACCTGGGCACACCAGGTGCTCTTGCAGGCTTTCTCTTTGTGTCTTCCTACCAAGCAGGCCCTCTGCCAGGCTCTGGGGCATTTGATCCAATGCATTGGGGGATTTGCTTCTGGGAGTTCTTTTCTTGGATTCCCTTCCGACCTTAAGTGAAACCTAGTATTTTCCACAGAGGGGTACTGGCCATATATTTTCCAGGTGTCAAAAAGGAATAATGCTTGTTTAAAATATGAGCCTGCTCATGACGAACTTGACTCAAGAATTTGTCTTTATTTGGAACAGTATAAAAGGGATGGCTGCAGCACTGTATGGTGAAATAGGCACAATTTCGTGTTGGAAGTCTTAGGTTCAAGTCCCAGTTCAGCCACTTCATAGGCATGTGTGTTTGGACAAGCTTTTGAATCTTTCTGCCTCTGTATTATTATGAGTAAAGTTTGTCTAACCCTACTGCTACCTTAAAGGGTGTCTGGCAGCTCAAATGAAATATTGTTATGTGAGCGTGCTTTGTGAGTCTTAGCACAATATAGTTGTTTTTTTCTATATTTCCCTGTGCTCTTTTCTCCATGTTCAGATGGTTACTAGTTCTCCTTGATATTGTTTTCCTCATGCTTTTGCTCATGTTGGATGCTCTCACCCTACTCTGCCAGAGGATCAGCTCTTAGTCATTGTAGTAGATTGATTTGTTGCCACCGAAGGATTTGTCCAAGTGCAAACCCCTGGTACCTGTGAATGTGACCTTATTTGGGAAAAGGGTATTTGCAGGTGTAATTAAGGATCTTGGATTGACTGGGTGGGACTTAAAAATCTAATGTCAAGTGTCCTCATAAGAAAAAGAGAGGACACAAACAGGAGGGGGAACACCCAGGAGGAGGCCATGTGATGACCGGGACAGAGACAGGAGTTATTCTTCCACAAGTCAGTAAGTGCTTGGTGCCGCTGTAAACTGAAGGAAGCAAGAAAGCCAGTGTCTTTGGGAGGGAGTCCTACTCTGCCAACATCTTGATTTTATACTCTGGCCTTTGGAACTGTATGAGAATGAAGTTCTGTTGTTTTGAACAACCAGGTTTGTGGTAGTTTGTTACAGCAGTCACAGAAAACTAATACACTCATTTTTTTACAGCTTGGCTCTAATGTCCTCTGCTTCTGGAAGTCTCTCCTACATAGCCTTCCTGCTGTAGTTTGACAGTCTGTTCAATGCAGCTCTGCCTCTGTATCTATTTTTGTTCATCAGTTTATAATGGTCTTTATTATCCATAAATGAGTGAGATCATGTGGTATTTTTCTTTCATTGACTGGCTTATTTCACTTAGCATAATGCTCTCCAGTTCCATCCATGCTGTTGCAAATGGTAAGAATTCCTTCTTTTTTTACAGCAGCATAGTATTCCATTGTGTAGATGTACCACAGTTTTCTAATCCATTCATCTGCTGATGGGCACTTAGGCTGTTTCCAGATCTTTGCAATGGTAAATTGTGCTGCTATGAACATAGGAATGCATATATCCTTTCTGATTGGTGTTTCTGGTTTCTTGGGATATATTCCACTTCTAGGAATATATCCCAAGAAAGCTAGTGTCTTTGGGAGGGTGTGCAGCTCTGCCAACATCTTGATTTTATATTCTGGCCTTTGGAACTGAATGAGAATAAAGTTCTGTTGTTTTGAACAACCAGGTTTGTGGTAGTTTGTTACAGCAGTCACAGAAAACTAATACACTCATTTTTTTACAGCTTGGCTCTAATGTCCTCTGCTTCTGGAAGTCTCTCCTACATTCCCAAGTCTCTCCAACATTCCCCCCCTCTGTGTGCCTGTGATATCCCTTACATCTGTCACTCTACTTGCACCTGCTTCTATAATTACCCATTGATGAGGCTGTCTGTCTCCGTGACAGCAAGGATTCGGTGGGGTTGTGCCTTGTTAATGTTTCTCACCTGGCATATAGCAGCTTGATATGTATTTGTTTTGTGCAAAATGAATTTTGCTCTCAAACGCTCTCTTCTCTTTATCCCGTCACCCACCAGTGCATTGGCCTAGGCTCTTAGTGCTTGTGGTGGGATCATGGTCTGGCTTTTCATCTGCAAGCACCTTTCCTCTCTCTGACACACTACCTGTTCATAATATATCTAAAATGCTATTCTGGCACTGTCTACCCAGAGACTCTCAGCGCTTCCACTCCTCCTGCTTTCAAATGCCTCTACTATCTGGTCCCAAAGTATGTTTCCAGCTTTATCTGTCACTACCCTCCTTTATAAATTTCTGCTCTAGGAAAACTAATCCATTCGTGTGTTTATAGAACATACTTTACTAATGTAGAACCTTTGCTAGAACTATGGATGGCAGGAAAGCCCTTATCTTCATCACTGTTGAAATCGTAATTACCATGCAGAGATTTCCATAACATTCTTTTCCCTTCAGTGAAGAAAGTGGTGTGTTTTAAATAGCATATTTTTTTTCTCAAATTTATCTATGTGGATATGGAAAACTTAGTCTCCAAAAATTCTTGCTGGCCTTCCCTCATTTGAGAGCATAAAGTAGCACAGTGGGAAGGGTGTAGAGACCTGAGTTTGAATTCTATGTCAATTGCTTGCCAGCTCTGGAACCTTGAGCAGCTTATTTAATTTCTCAAAGCATCAGATTTTGCATCTCTGAAATAGAAATGACAATAAGACTTTATAAGGTTCTTGAGGGTTGAATGCAATCATGATAATAATTTTTTAATGGGATTGGTGGGGGGAGAGGGAGGACCAAAATGGTACAACGAGGTTAACTTATTACAGTTAATTGAGAGAGAATCAAATTATAAAAGCAATGTGGGCTTGAATGAAGGGTGTATTCTAATGGATTCTGTGTTTCTTAAGGACAATTATTTCCATCGCTTAATTCTTTGCAGAATAACGGGACCACTGAGCACCAGGTGGAGTCTTTCATAAGAAAAAAACTGGAGTCACTGTTAAAAGAATCTCAGATTCGAGACAAAGAAGATCCTGATAGTTTCACAGTGAGGGCTCTACTGAAGGCCACGCATGAAGGCTTACATGCACACCTGAAGCAGGTATAAGCTGCCCTCTGGTACTTGTCCTTTGAGAGGAAAAAGAAAGCATATCATATGTGTTGTTTCTGAACATTTGTCATTTGGGAAATGCTTCTCCAGTTTCATCCATTTCTATCTTCCTATTGCTTGAGAAATAAAAATCTCCTGTTGCAAAATAATGTGAGAAATAGTTAGAAGTTGGATGGGTAGGGCTGAAAATGACAGGAGAAAGCCCAGTCCCCCTGGACTCACCTTCCTCATGCTTGCGCAGGTGAGCCGAGAAGCTTGAGTCCACCACATACTGCAGCCTCCCACCTGTCTGGGTTTGGGCAGCCTCCATGCCCTGTTGATTGCACTTCCTGGACGTGTCTCCCATCTGCCCACTTCCCTTCTTCTTCGTGGCTGTGTCCCAATCTAGGCCAATGTCAACTCTCACCTGGACTTCTCTTGCCCTTCTTCAATAGAATCTCTACTCTGAAATCAGCATGGTTCTTTAAAAATGCAAATCTGATCATGTTACTCTACTGTTCAGAATTCTTTGGTGGCTTCCCATTATGCTGGGGATAACTAACAAATTCTTTGACTAGGCTTTCCAAGGACCTGCATCATTGCATCCTTGCCTAACTTTCCAGATCTCCTCATTTTCCTTGTCATACCACCTCTCACAATTGTCATACCAGACATAACTGTTTATTCCATTGTCTTCCTCACATTACGTTTCCTCTGCCTGGAACACTCCATTCTCACATTTGCTCTAAGTCCTGCTTAGTCTTTTAAATTCCAGCTTTAATGTGATGTCTTAAATGAGTCCTGACTTGAGTGCTGAATTGGGTTAGCTATCCCCTTTATATTGCCCATAGTAGCCTATTTTATCTTCTCTTTTCTGAAGTTTTAAAACCACATTTGCAACTACTTGCTCAGTGTCTGTCTACCTAACTAGACTATAGATTCCATGAAGACCAGAACCATGTCATTCTTGATAACCATTATTATGCTGGCTTCTCTAGTGCTTGGGACTTAGCAAGACCTTCATAAATAGTTGTTGAATGGATGGTTTGGGAGACATATATTTTATATTATACTTCTATATAAAGAGGGTGTGGGAGGGGGGTGAGCCAGGCAAGAAGAATCCCTATTTGTTCACTAGCGGTAGCTTTGTAACTTTGGATATATTCTTTAACTTCACTATATTTCAGATTTTTTAATCTGTAAAATTGAGATTTTAATCATACCTATCTCAAAAAATGGTTGTATATATTAAATGAGAATATATATAATGCACTTAGCATAATCCTTGGGGCATAGTAGGTGCCTACTAAATAGAATGCCCATTTACCTTAACTTGCCTGGGACAACCCTGTTTTATATCTATTGTCCTAGTGTAATTATTAAAAATACCCCATTTCACTCTTAAATGGGTCCTGTTTGGGACAATAAGTGACATGATCTTCCTATAGATGGGCTATTAGAAGTGGAAAGGAACTCAGAAGTTAATTGGGTCATTCCTCCTCCATTTCATAGATAAGAAAACAGGTCAGGAGAAGAGGCTTGCCATGGACATGTAGCCACTTGGTGGCAGGACTGGGTCTCCTAATGTAGAGAGCAGTGTTGCTTCTATGACTGCATCTGGCTACCTTCTTAATTTCAGGATTTTTGAACAGATAGTGGTCAGCTTTAATAGATCTTCAGAGGCAGTCCATATATATAAACGGTCAACTACAATTACCCTCTTGCCCCCTCCCCCGCTAGTATTTTCTGAACTGCCTCTTTCTCCAACTAAGTCTTCTCCACTCCCCACTCCAAATGGCATCTCTGATTAGTCTATATGGATGCCCTCCCTGGCCGTTTGATTTTAAATAGTTTTACTTACCCACATGCATTCCATGTATGAGGTTATCTCTGTTTCTTCTTGGTTTAGCAGGAAGTTCTGGGAGGGCATGGCCTATTGTGCTGGTCTCTCCTTAAGCCATGTCATTAGTAGTGAACTCTTTTTAGGGTTGATAACTTAATAAACATCTAAACCCTTTTAGCAGAGTGGCCTCCCTGCATCCTAACGAGAGAGAAGCTTGAGCAAGGAGATCTCTAGCCTAGAAAATTAACCCACATGAAGAAAATTCATACATCTTTCCAGTGCTCACCACAGAGGGAATTATTTCAATGAATAGCTAAGCTTTGCTCTGGTTTACTTAAATAAAAATAATCTTATTACCTCATACATATGCTTGGATTTTATTTATATTTCATGTTTTTAAAATTCCAAATAAGTGTTTGATCAATGTGATTTTTTTTTTGGTAGAATTGGCTCTTAATGATTTTTGGCCATTTTTCAAAATTAAATCTATTTTCACTGAAGGTGATTTTATCCCCACTCATGGCATTCAAAAGACTACATCCTATGCTGTGGAGAGCCTTGTGATCAGGTACTGGATGGGCCACTGAGAGGCCTTTGACCCCAGCTTTGGGCAGCTGCTGGTCGTTCCTGTCTCCTGGCTGGTACCTGGGCCTCTCCGTGTCAGTGTCCCCCTGGCAGACTCTGCCACCTTGTACTGGAGGGGGCGTAGCAGGAGGAAGTGACCTCATGCTTCCCACCTAGAGGCAGACGGAGAGAGGTTTGCCTGCCATTTCGTCAGAACAAAGGAAAAAATAAAAGAAGAAAAATAGTTATATTATGCTTTATTTTCTCAGCATCCAGATGTGAAGGAGAGTGGAAAGAAATCACATGGACGATCCCTCATGACCAACTTTGGAAAACATAAGGTACTAAATGAGATTGAAAAATGAGTGAAATTCACTTAAATTAAATCTGGAAGGTAACTGGAGAATATCATCATGGCCTTGGAATAACTGAAGGTTGCTTAAATAGGCCTCCAGAAAAGGAAAATACTGATAATTAAACGACTTGGAAATTTAGGAATTGCTGTTCATCAAAGGTATCAAAAAGCAAGTAATATTGGCAAAGAATATTGTCAATACATACATGCAATATAGATCTTGTATCCTGACAATATAAAGAATTCCTACAAATCAATAAAAAAGACAGGTACCCTAAATAATAATAATACAAAAAACTGGGCAAAAGATTTATATGATACTTCACAAAAGACTTGAAATGGCTAATCTGGAAAAGGTGCTCACCCTTACCTGGGAAATGCAAATTAAAATGCCATTGAGATTCCATACACACCCTCCACCATAGCAAACATAAAAAGACTGACAGCACCCAGTGATGGTGAGAAAGTTAAACTCTCATACAATGCTAATGAGAATATGCATTTGTAGTAGTACAAATAGGAAATAGTTTAAGTGTCCATCAATAATAGAATGAATAAAAATGGTATTTTCACATAGGGTAATATTTATCAGCAAAAATGACAAAATTGCAACTATAAACAATAATATGATCTTTATAAACATGACACTGAGCAAAAGAAGCCAGACCCAAGAGAGTACATGCAATTTGATTCAATTTATATGAAGTTTAAACACAGGCAAAACCAAATCATTAGGGTAAAAGTCAGATTAGCAGTTACCTATGGGGAGAAGGTAATGCTGAGTGGAAGAATCAAAAGGCTTTGGAGGGTAGATAATATTCCATTTCCTCATTTGGTGGTTTCATTTTGTGCATGTCATCATGCTGGGTGCTTATAATTCTTGTACTTTCCTCAGTGAAAAGGTTATATAAGTAATCAATTATTGGATGGTGAACTTTGTGCGTGAGGTTTCTGTAAGGACATTTCTTGTGTTTTAAGGAATATTGTATCTGGAATTTCCTGCCCTATCAGTAGGATAATTTCTTAAAAGGTCCCCAAAATAGTCATTATAACAAAAAACTGAAAACAACCAAAATGTTCACCCATAAGGACTTCTTAAGTGAATCATGATTCATTCACACAATGGACAATTATGCAGCCACTAAAAGATGATCACTCTAAAGAGCTCATCATGCAAAACATTAAGTAAAAAAGTAAAATGAAAAATTGATTACATGGTACATTAAGCATGATAAAAAGTGTTCAAACTGTATGTAAAGAAAATATATCATCATTTTTCCAAATATTATCTGCCATTGGTGATTCATTTCTTAATTCTTTTTGCCTTTTATGTTAAAAAGGAACTTCAAAAAGACACTTATTTTAACACCTCAAGGTACTAATTATATGTAGAATTAGAGAATATTTCATTTCTTGATTACAGCTACTGATTTAAATTAAACTTCTTTTCCAGAGTAAACCTTTTAGGCTGTACTTGTGCTACCATAGAAATAGAATTTATTATGTCTCAAGCCATAAAAATGAATGCCTACAAGACTATTTACAGATTATTTTATTAAGTATTAATAGTACTTAAAATTGAAAGTTAATATTCTGTAGCTTAGAGGATGACTTCCCATGCCATCTTATTTAATCACCACCACAATAATAATTCTTTAAAAAAGATGTTATTGTCCTGCCCTTTTAAGAAACACAATAGGAAGCTAGAGAGGTTGGCCAGCTTGCACAGGAGATCCTCAGAGGCTAGGGCTCCCACACCATGCACACCGAGGTTTGTGAACCTGAGAAGGTTCCAGACCAAATTGGTGGCTCGCTGTGAGTGCAACAGAGTCGAGTGTGTGTATGCCAACAGTGTAGCTGGTTTTGTATTTGTTGAGCGTGAGACGATCGGAAAGGTGACATGGTCTAATGGCAATGTGAGTATGGAGTCCCTTTACTTTTTTAAAGCTACATTCCCCAGATGTCCAGGCTACTCTGTGTGAAGGTCTCGCCTTTGTTGGTTTGTGGAAACTGTTTTGATGGCAAGGTTTTCTGCAATTTCCTCCCCATCATTTGTATTGTGAAGGTATGTGTTGCCAAATAATGGGGTTCTCTCCAATGTGATGGGAGCGAAACCTCATCATTTCAAAAAGGTGTTATGTCTAACAGCGAATGTGTCCAGACAACACCAGATTTGTCCTGAAGCCTTTCAGCCTGAATCCTGTGGGTAACAATTTCATTCTGCTGCTAGAAATTAAAAGGGGTCAAAACCTCAACAGAGCAGTTTGATATAGATGGTTATTTGAGTACATACTGATCAAAAGCAGGCATGGTGGTTAATCATTAAAAATAATACTGCTAGCTTTCAAAAAAATCAAATCTGCCTTTTATAAGTCAACATGAATAGTGAGCTTCCTATAAAGATGATATGTTATTCCTTAATAGTATTTAAATAGATGTTACTTCTTTGACTGTCATTCCTTATAGAGACCGTCAATGCATGACGAATAAGGTCGTTCTAAGACCTACATTTTATGTGGCTTGGAAGTCAATTTTAGAGCATGAAATCCTCAGTTTTGCCTTAGTATTATAATTATGGCCATGGCCATGCTTGTTATTAATGGTCAGGCAAGATGCAATATCTGGGCATTTATTCTCCCTCCACGTTATTGTGTGTGTGTGTGTGTGTGTGTGTGTGTGTGTGTGTGTGTGTGTTAAAGCCCAGTCCATTCTCTGAATGTTGTAGATGTACCTGATGCAGTGAGTTTGTTGTTAAGTTTACTGTGATTTATTATGTGCCAGACCCTTTAGGTGCTAAGGAAGTAAAAATGAATAAGAAGATCACAGTCTCATATCCCCTGAAGGGGATCAGATGTGCAAATTTAAAGTAACAGGATTGTGGTAGTTGATACGAACTGCTTGGAAGGCAAACAATCAATGTTTCTCTTCCTCTCTCCCTTCCTCTGTTTTCCAGCAGAAAACCACAAAATCACAGTCTAAATCTTACAGTACTGATGATGAGGAAGATGCACAGCAGAATCCTGGCAAGGAGATAGGCCAGCTGTACAGGTAAGAAGGTGTCTCCTTGTTTCTTGCTTAGACTCTCTGGGCCTCTCCATCCCCATCACCTTGGCTGTTTTAGTTGTATGTATCTAGAGAATTGGATCGCAAGATAAAGTGCTCAGTGCAGTGGGGCCCGTAAAGATAACTGGATATGAGACTGATTCTGAATGAGCTGTGAATTCACCACATAAGTAGGGTTTTTAGTGGAAAGAGTGTTGAACTAGGAAACACACTGGGTTCTAATCCTGGCTCCATGAGGAGCAGGTAAGAAAGGTAGAGTAGACAAAGGCCCACACTTCTTCCAGGTCTAAAGTATCATGAGTCCCTTGTGCATTTCACAGGTTGGGTCGCCGGAGGAAAACCATGAAGCTCTGCCGAGAGCTGTCGGATTTGGTGGTGTACACAAACTCTGTGGCAGCCCAAGACATCGTGGACGATGGTAAGGATTGAGTGTTTTTTTTTTCTTCTGGATAAATATCCTTGACCTTTCTTTGTCAACAGTTAATTAATTTTTGTTAATCAGATCATCAGCACACATTTCTGGAACTGGGTACAATCCCACTTGAGTTGTCAGGAAACTGACTGCCAGGACCAAGCTTTTAGCTCGCAGGGAGGCCTCTGTTGATTACTGGGGTTGCCTGATTGTCTAGAGGCCAGAGAAACTTCCTACAGGGAAGAGGAGGACTTTATTATAAAAAAGACAAAGGTGTCAGAGTAGGGCTTCCCCCACACTTGAACTATAGAGACCTGCCCTGATTTGATGGCCATTCCCAATGTGAACGACCAGAAAAAAGAAGAAATTAATTGGCCTAAAGAACACCTTGAAAAGCCTCCTATTTTCTCATTGGAAAATTTGACTTTGATGAAAACAATTTAACGCAAAGATTGAGGTTTCAACAAAAAAAAAAAAAGAAAGAAAGAAAGAAAGAAGGAAAAATTTCAGAAGTGCTGACTCTTCACTGATTTTCACTTATTAATTGCCACAAATTGGGTTGAGGAATTCTAGTCACAACTGTTCTTATCCTGGGCTTTCCTGCTAGTTGCTCGATTCCCCTTTATTCTCAGCCCTTCTCATTTCTATTTTGTCCAGTTAATGAATGTTTATAGACATAAACTATGGTCATGTGGCTTTTCAATCTACTTTCAATTTGAGTGGAAGTTAAATGTAAATCAGAATCTCCCATTTTCTCAGTAAGCCTTAGTGAAGGGAAATGACATTGTGGTGACTTATATCCTCACAAACCTCCAGGATTTTTCCTCAGATCTCTTTTCCCCCCTCTAACTCACAAGTGTATCTTTTCCTATCTGTAGATTTTCTTTCCTTTTATATTGATTTCTTCTTCAAGTAGTGACATAAACATTTTAAATTAATTTCATGTGAAAGCATGATAACCGGTAGGATTCTCAGCATGTGAACAATAAACACATTCTTGTAATAACTGCCCACAGCTAGAAAATAAACCTGGAGTGGTTCAATGGAGTTGAAGGTGTTTTGGTTTAGAGGAATATAATTTCTAACAAATGCCTTAGGAAATCATAATTCTATTAGCTTAAGAGAAAAATAGTATTGAGTACTGTTTAGCTTTTGAACTTCAGCTGTTTTTGTCTTTTGTGGGTTTTCTTTTCAGCCTTAAAATGAACAATAGACAATGAGTGAATGGCTTATTCTAATGCAAAGCAACTCAACTGCATTAATATATTAATTGACATATGCCTATCAGGGTCATCTTGATGACAATGTGGTATGCATATTTATGTGGAAAGACAGCAAACAGTGACACTGATTACAGTACTATATTATCTGCATTAACTTGTCAAAAAGACTGTATTTTCTCCTATCATGTTCAAAGTATTCATCAAAATCCTCAAATAACATCATTTTTAGAATACTTGTGCTGTGAATAAGTTAATAAATTAATGTCAATAAACTATACATGATAAGGAAAGAGTTAATTTGAAGCACATCATCAGATTAAAAATGAATTTTCTAATTGCTTTGCCTCCCACCTGTATTTATGACTATTCCAAGCTCCAGCTCTGGAATGTAGTTGTTAGTCACTTGGCCAGCATTTTCTATCTAAGGGTGTACAACCCCCAAGGACAACAGGGCCCTGGGAGACTGTGCTCTAATAAACATGCACAATCAGGATATAATTCAGGTCAGTGGCCCAGCTGGACTATAGCTCTACTCCTTGGTTTCATGGGCCATGTCACCCAGTCTGGGTTTAGACACAGCTGTCACAGAACACATTGGAATGAAAATGAGGCTCTGGGCAAGTTGGGCTCTTTATCTAGACTGACCTTTTCCAGCAGGCCCAGGAGACATGGTAGTCATTTTGGGGGTGAGGTATGGATGTTTGGGGAAGGGGTGATAGTAGTGGGGATATTGTAGACAAGGTGCAAAAGATATGATTAGGGGAAGGGTAGGATATTAAATGTTTGGAGATTTACTCCATCATGACCCCAAATCTGCAGTGTCCTTGGCCCTGGATTGACCCATCCTGATGTCCAAACAGGCATCTTAATATATAAAAACCCAGGGTCCGTAATGACCAAAGGCTCAACTGACCAGAAGTCAGTCCTGCAGTCAGTGCTGGGTTGCCATGGCGACCCAGCACTGACTGCCAAAGGGGCTGTGGATCAGGCCCAGAGAGAGTTCCAAAGAGAGAGGCAGGGTCTGATCCACAGCCTCCGTGGCAGCTGTTGATAAGCCATTGCCTCTCTTTTTCTCTTCTGGCTTCACCAGCAGCTGCACCTCTGTTTCTCTCCGGGCCTCCGTGGGGACTGCTGATCAGCCTCACCTCTCTGATCAGGCCCGGAGATAGACCCGGAGATGCTGACTGGCATAGAAACCGACCAATCAGAACCAAATCTAGGTGAAGTGCGAGGAGCCAATGGCTGCCTAGGAGGCGGAGCTTTTGACACTGACTGGCATATAAACTGACCAATCAGAATCTAATCTGGGTGAACTGCGAAGGCAGAACCTAAGTTGGGGGCTAAGGAAGGGTTTTAAGGGAAACAGCTGTTTGGTGTACAGTGTAAGAGAGTGGTTCAATTTTTTAATGACCGGTTTGGCAGTATAGTGCATATGGTTGGCTATCAGTCCAGATATAGGGATTATGTATTTTTGTCTGCCAAGAGCACCTCCTCCTGCTGAAAAAGGCTCCCCCCCCATTTTAGCAATCCTATCCTATATAATCTATCTATACTAATAAAAGGGTAATATGCTAATTAGACCGGGTCGACTGGCCATCTTCTGGACATCTGACTTCCTTCTGGACATAGCCATGGTGGTGGGGGCCGAGGCAGAGAGGGCAGTTGGGGGCAAGATCAGGCCAGCAGGGGAGGGCAGTTAGGGGCAATCAGGCAGGCAGGCAGAGGCAGTTAGGGGTGATCAGGTAGGCAGGCAGGGGTTTAGGGGCAATCAGGTAGGCAGGCAGGTGATCGGTTAGGAGCCAGTGGTCCCAGATTGCGAGGGGGATGTCCGACTGCCGGTTTGCTTGTTTGTTTTGCTGTAGTTCTCACTTTTCTTTTTTCTTTATTAAAAATTGCCAGGAACCACAGGAAATGTGTTATCATTTAGTGAAACAAGAGCACACCAGGTGGTTCAGCAGAAATCAGAGCAGTTCATGATTTATAACCAAAAGCAACTCACAAGGATTTACCCCTCTGCCTACCGCATTGACTCCAGTAACTTCAACCCACTGCCCTACTGGAACGCAGGCTGCCAGCTAGGTATGTACCCCTCGGGAAGGCGTGGTCCTCTGCCTGTCTTGAGTCTATGCTGACATTTTGCCTAATTCTCTCAAACTTTGAACTTGCACAGTGGCACTGAACTACCAGTCTGAAGGGCGAATCATGCAGTTAAACCGAGCCAAATTCAAGACAAATGGAAACTGTGGCTATGTCCTCAAACCCCAGCAAATGTGCAAAGGTATGTGTTAACTTCCTAGTCATGTATCTGAAGGCAGGTGACCTCTATTGAAGGAGCTCTGTGGAAAGTGTGATGCCCCAGTGTTTAGCAACATGATTTCAAAAAAGAGGAAGGTTCAGGTTGGAGTCTAAATGAAAACTATTGTCACGCTATGATGTGTAGAATGTTCCCTCCTGAGGTTTTGTATGTGAAGAAGGGCAGAAGTAGCAATGGATTGTCATCTGAAATCTAGTGCCCAGCATGACATTCATTGGGCATTACTTCTAAATTGGACTTTCTACCATTACTAAGGTTTGAGCCATCTCAGAAGCTTTCCTAGGGTGTATGAGTTGGACATCTAGTGGCAAAATTAAAATAGCACCTGAAACAATTTTATCAAGCCTTTTATTTTTTAAAATATATTTTTATTGATTTCAGAGAGGAAAGGAAAGGGAGGGAGAGAGAGAGAGAGAGAAACATCAGTGATGAGAAAGAATCATTGATCGGCTGCCTCCTGCATGCCCCACACTGGGGATCAAGCCCACAACCCCCGGGGAATGTGCCCTGACCAGGAATCGAACCGTGACCTCTGCTTTATGGGTCGATGCTCAACCACTGAGCCACACTGGCTAGGCTTATCAAGCTCTTTAGTCAGTATGGTCTAATTACAAAACAGTGCTAACAAAAGAGGAAAGATAATGTAGTGTTAGATAAAAAAAGGACATGTTTTTTGGTTCTGCTTATTAAAATTCTCCAAATTAAATTTCCAATACAAAACAGTGCTAACAAGAAATAAAGGTCATGTTGTTTTAGATGGGGAAAAAAAACATGTCTTTTGGTTCTGCTTATTAAAATTCCCCAAATTGGATTTTTAACAATTCAGGTTAAGTGTGTTGACAGGTGTATCTTCAGGATTCTTTACTTTGTATGTTTTTTTTTCTCTGCTATTTACTTAATTTCAGAAAGTCTTTCTGTTTGTTATATTTACCCTATAGCCGAGATAGTTTAGGTTAGGAAATTATTTAAATCTGACATAACTGCTCCCCTCCCCTATACTATTGGCATTTGAGTAAAATGCTGCTCCTGCCCCCGTGCCACGGTTGATAATTGCATCGCAGACACTTGCTTTAAATTGGCCCATTCCTTTGAATGGGAGCATGGATTCTACCAAAAGCCACAGCTATGGAAATGCCAGCTGCTATTGCCTTCACGCAAAGGCCACACTGATAGTTACCTGATAGTTTCTTGGCTCTAAGACACACTCTAATAACTCAGCATTTGTCATTTCTTTTTTCTACAAGCTTTAGCTGTGTGTGTATGTGTGTGTTTCCATGCTACTAACGTTGTATTTTAACATCTGCTTACTTGGCTTAGGTACTTTCAACCCTTTCTCTGGTGATCCACTTCCTGCCAACCCCAAAAAGCAGCTCATCCTGAAAGTGATCAGTGGACAACAACTTCCCAAACCTCCAGACTCCATGTTTGGAGACCGAGGAGAGGTAAGCCACGTGTGACCCAGTGGTTAATTTTGTGACTATCTTATTGGGTTCACACTTCATCCCAAATGTCAGGTGTATGTGTGTGTGTGTGTGTGTGTGTGTGTGTGTGTGTGTGTGTGTGTGTTTATAAATGAGCCACTGATCTCAGCTCACCAGATATTAACCAGCTCTTTTGGGCAAAGCACACACAGTCCTTGGAGGCATGAGTTCATATGATTCAATTCATTATTCAAGACTGGCATGGGCAATGCTAACATTGGGGTACAAAGAACAACTTTATTATCAATAGAAACATTGCATAAGAGTATGTCTTAATTTTCTATCCACATTCCTCATCCCCTCATCTCTGCTACACATCAGATACCTGCTCCTGGCCACATGCTGAACCTTGTCATTACTTGCTACACCTCTGTGGTATGATTTTAAAATGTCTCCTCTATGACCATAACATCCTGTCTTTCCAGAGCTCTTATTCCATTGTTCCCATTACACCTGGTCTTGACCTTCTTGACCACAATTTTCTCCTGACCTGTCAGCCCCTATGTTCATGTCCTTCCTCTCAGGAGTGGCCCATCACTTCAGGCTCTTTGCCACTCCTACCTGCTAAACCATCATTTCTGGACCATGAATGTTATGGGAAACCATGCAGCTCTGCAGTTTAGTATTACCTTCAACTCTTTGTCTTCACTAAATAGGTATCTCTTTACCTTTGTAATTAATACATAGTCTGTGGAGTTAGTGCAATCTTTTAAATGTATAGGGACTGTCTTTCTTTGTAAGTAAAACAAAACCCAACCTCCTTATCTTGGCTTATAAGGTTCTTTATCAGGATATTATGACTTTTTTGAGCCATGAGGCCCTTCTCAAAATAATGTTTTTGTTTTTTTTTTAATATTTTTTTTATTTTTCGCTTAAAGTATTACAAAGGGTATTACATAAGTGTCCTTTTTTCCCCCCCCGCCCTTGACACACCCCTACCCTCCCTTACCCCCCAGTGTCTTATGTCCATTAGTTATGCTTATATGCATGCATACAAGTCCTTCGGTTGATCTCTTACTCCCCTCCCTCCTGCCCCCCAACTCTCTCTGGCCTTCCCACTGCAGTTTGGCAATCAGTTTGAGGCAGCTCTGCCTCTGTATCTATTATTGTTCAAAAGTTTGTAATGGTCTTTATTATCCATGAATGAGTGAGATCATGTGGGATTTTTCCTTCATTGACTGGCTTGTTTCACTTAGCATAATGCTCTCCAG